CAAACTACTACTTCCAGATATCATCAGTGAAACCCAAAGTACTTTTGTGCCTGGAAGGATTATTACTGATAACGTTATTGTTGCATATGAGTGCCTTCATACAATGAAGAAGAGGAAAACAGGGAAGCAAGGGACATGTGCGGTGAAGCTGGACATGCACAATGCATACGATAGAGTGGAGTGGGTGTTTTTAGAGGCAATTCTTGGGAAACTTGGCTTTGATGCAAGATGGATAAAATTGGTAATGGCATGTGTGACTTCAGTGCAGTATAAGGTAAGGTTCAATTTTCAAAGAAACCTTGCCATTCTCACCAACCAGAGGGCTTCGGCAGGGGGCCCCCCTCTCTCCTTACTTGTTTCTATTGTATGCGGAAGGTCTATCTGCACTCATTTGTCATGAGGAGAGCCTTGGGAATTTACAAGGAGTTCAGGTGTGCGCTGACTCCCCTCATATCTCATATTTATTATTTGCTGACGACTCCCTCATCTTGATGAAAGCTGATTGTATGAATGCTCAAACCTTGAGAAGAATTCTGGATGACTATTATGCAGCATCAAGCCAAATGGTGAGTGAGGCCAAGTGTTCTGTATTTTTCAGCCCCAATACAGAGGTGGAAACAAAAGCCGATGTGTGCCAAATATTGAATATAATGACTGAGTTGTTGTTTGACAAATACTTGGGGCTTCCATCTATGATTGGAGTGGACAAGGTAAATTGTTTCAAACATCTAATTGAAAGAATACAGAAAATGGTGAATGGGTGGAAGGAGAGAACTTTATCCTATGGTGGAAAAGAAGCACTAATTAAAGCGGTGGCCCAAGCCATCCCTACATATGCGACAAGTGTATTTAAATTCCCGAAGAAAATTTGCAAGGGGATCACTGATGCAATGTCGCAGTATTGATGTGGTGACGAGGACGGCCATAAAAGGATGCATTGGTTTGCTTGGTGGAGAATGTGTATTCCGAAGGAAAAAGGGGGTATGGGGTTCTGAGATGTCCAGAGCTTTAACTTACCCATCCCGGCCAAGCAGTGTTGGAGGCTGATTGAGTGTAATGAGTCCCTGTGTGCAAGAGTATTAAGAGCGAGATACTACCCCACTGGTGACATATTGAATTGTGAGCTGAAGAAGGGTTCCTCTTATATTTGGAGGAGCATTTGGGCGGGCATACAAACATTCAAAGAAGGATGTATTTGGAGAGTTGGCGATGGTGCAAAAATTAATATCTTGGATGACTGTTGGATTCCCAATAGTTTTTCAAGGAAAGTGGTCACTGTCCGAGGTAACCAAGTGCTCACAAAAGTAATCGAACTCATAGACCCTATCACAGGTGAATGGGATGAGCAACTGATCCACGATAATTTTTGGCATATCGATGCAGAACGCATCCTAGAGATCCCCTTGCACCAACAGTTAACAGAGGACTATGTTGCTTGGCATCTGACTAGGAGTGCAATTTTTTCAATTAGATCTGCTTATATAAATAGTGGGAGGTTTCATATGTAGGCGATACAAATGAAGCAAATATGTTTGGCGGGATAGCGCCACATCCGTATGGAAGCAATTATGGAGTTTGAAAGTTCCTGGAAAAGTGAAGATCTTTTTGTGGAGATGCTTACATAATGCAATACCGTGCTTCTGTGTCCTAGCCAATAGGCACATCGGAAACGTCTCACAATGCCCAATCTGCCGCATGGGCGCTGAAGATATAAAGCACACCATCTTTAGTTGTGAGCGAGCGAAAGCAGTCTGGTCGTCTTTGGGTATTTGCAATACTATTTCAGATGCTCTATTGGTAGACCATTTAGGAGCAGCAGTTTTGGAATTTCTAATGTGTGATCAGTTGCACCAGAAGACGTATATGGATCAGGTCGATCTTCCGGAATTAATCGCAACGGCGAGCTGGTACATTTGGTGGTAGAGAAGGATGCATGTTAAAGGTGAGGTAGTTCAATCTCCGGTGCCAACAGGACCATCCATTCATGCTCTTACTCTCAACTTCACCCGTGCGATGGCCGATCCTGCGCCAACCCCAAGGATAAATTCTTGGCCAATAGTTCTGGCCGCGCAACAAATCTTGAACGTTGATGCATCCTTTAGAGAGGAGGATTATACGGGGTCATGTGGGGCCCTTCACAAAGGGAATTTTATAGCAGCTTGCACCTCACGTATTGAACACGTTGCAGATGTAGTTTCTGCTGAAGCTGCAGCACTTCGCGAGGGTTTGAAATTAGCTCATACACTGGGATGCAATGATATCGTGGCAAGGATGGATAACTTCACTGTAGTAAACGTTCTACAGCTCAATGAAGGACAAGCGATGGTGGCTGCTCCTGTTCTGGAAGAGTGCAGAGATTTACTAAGAGATTTAGGGAAAATTATTCTTGAGCATTGTAATAGAGAGTCAAATATGACAGCTCATGTGCTAGCTGAATATGGTCGTGCAAATGATCTGTCTATGTGGATTGAGGCACCCCCAAGTTTCCTCGCCAAATTCTTGGCGGACGATGTATCTGTTATTTAAATTAATAAAGCTAGTTATGAAGGCCTTCTTGTCAAAAAAAAGGAAGAAAGGGAGGACGACATGCGCGAGAGGAGATGGCCGTCCACGCCGGCGCACCCAACAAGTATATATCTCTCCTCGCGATAATTCAATTCGGTGCTTAGACCCATCTACACTCGGTGAATAGTAAAAAACAGCAGATTCAAAAAGATCTGATTTTTTTATGGTGCAAGATGGTCAAATGTGTGGTGTTGGTGCAACATTTTTTTTTTTGCCGTAACAGATGATGTAAAACCGGTGCCCTATAAGTTTCAAAATCAAACATGGTCATTGCATATTTCAGAATTTCAAACTAAATGTTCAACATTATTAAGCATTTAGGACGTCGTAGTCCATCACTCGATAACCACTACTACTAAATAACAACATTATGACTCATGACGTATCCGGAGTGGCGGCACCTTTTTTACAATATCTAGTGAAATCACCGTCCGTGTCGATGTAGATGGCCCTTCCACCGGAGGGGACTAGCTCGTGGTCATTGTCGGTAGACGGCTTCACCTCCTCTCCACCATCGTCTAAGCCCTCCCTGTCGAGGTACTCAAACAAATCATTGAGCTCGGCCTTGATCCTACGAGCATGCTTCATGTTCTCCTTCCCACACTCCTTGTTCTTCTTAGCGTGGAACGCAAGCTCAGCCGCCACATGGTTTGGATCAGTCCCCACCAGTATGCGGACGAATACAGTGTTCGATTTGGCGGGTCAGTGTCGTTGGAGATGCTCTAATTGATCTATATATGTTCATAGAATGTTGCATTTAAATCATGTTCATTGTCCACCTGTGCTTCATCACCCATCCTTACCGGAATCCTCAACTTTGGCCAGCGTCGGCTTGTTTGTCAGTGCATTACGCCGGGCGCCTGGCAAATACGTACTTTCCTACTCCCTCCTTTTTAGTTTACAAGTCCTACGTGTATATCTAGGTTGCCAATTTTATCACCCTAATATAACTATATAACACAAAAATCATACCATTTGAAAATAGAACATCTGAAGTTTATATTGGTATATTTTTTGTAATATATGACTTGTATTAGGTTGGTCAAATTGACGACTTAGGGGTACACGCACGTCCTGTAAACTGAGAGAGAGATAGTAGTACCTTTTTTGCACTCTGCAAACAATGCTTTGCCGAGTTTTTTTTGCGCACGGCAAACAATTGTTTGCCGAGTGCTTTTTTCCACTTGACAAACCTTTTTTTCTTTTCTTTCTTTCTCTTCTGCTTCCTCTTATTTCTTTTCTTTTATACATTTTTTCTTTTTTTCCTTTTATTTTATGTTCTTTTCTATATTATTTTATTATATATTATATTTTACTCACCCTTTATCTGTTTTTATATGCATTGAATGCATTTTCTAGGTATTTAACATAATAGAATATTTATACTCAATTACATAACTCACCTGTTGCGGTTTGTTGAGTGCATAACGTTGGGCACTCGGGAAATAAGTATTTGCCGAGTACCTTTTTTTGCACTTTCCTTGCCGAGTATCATTTTTTTGCACTCGGCAAATAATTGTTTGCCGAATACTTTTTCCCATTTGGGAAACATTTTTTTCCTTTTCCTTTTCCTTTCCTTCCTCTTATTCCTTTTCTTTTATACATTTTTCCTTTTATGCTATGTTCGTTTTTTATTATTTATTTTTATTTTATTTATTTTCCCATATTTATCTATTTTTATATGCAATTAGTGTATTTTCTAGACAATCAGGTAATATAGTAAAAGTTTGAACTGCAAGTGCATAACATAGTTCAGAAAATTGGGTTAAAATTTCTATTTATATTCTTGAATCCATGCGTAAGCTTTATACAATAAAAAGAAATTAATGGCAAATGTATGGGTGGGTCAACCGTGACTGTCACGTTGACGTACCTTGGACGCTCGCAAAATCATTAGTGCATGCAGAGGAGCAAGGGGTGTATTATCTGCGATAGTGAAATCGGACTCTAACACTGGTGTAGGCTATTAAAGGAGAAGAATATGACCGGTCTGTCAATGGCGCAATGATAATAAGAGAGATAAAAAGAATCTTTTGTTCGGTCAAATTTTGTCAATTCTAAAATTGCTCACTGGCCAGGGCATGTAGCAAAGTAGCGGCAGACGGTGTACAACTAGGGCACCTGCGGCAGGAGTTTGTATGTGTGGCAGCCACCGGTGATTTGGCCGGTTGTTTTGGTCATTAATAATGGAGTAGATGATATTCCAACTCAAAAAAGGAAAACAAAATACGACCAGCGACCCTAAAAAAAGCGATCAAAGTATGGCACGCGGGCGGCTGAACTCTGCCGATCCTGCCTTGTACGTTTTTTGGACCCTGCCTTGTACGTATTCGATTAGGACTCGTTAATGGGCTCCATTGATATATACTAGCCCTAAACACAACCCAATTACGTAGAGCAAGAGAGAGAGAGAGAGAACCAATCGATACGTCGACATGGATGCGAGTTGCGCGACGGCCAGGAAGGAGAAAGAAGAGAGGGAGTATATATCGATGCGCAGGAGGACACGGGCGAAGGAAAGTTGGAACCCTAACAAAGACAAAAAGGATGTCTACACCCACAGGTCGTGGAAAACCGATGAGCTCAGTAAGTACCCTCCTAACTGCACTTTTTCCCTACTGATCCACTCCCGCAACAGAGTATACAAGCAGCTAGTATTAACCGTACGTACACACGTCGTCAATTCAGCGTGCATCCCACCAATGTATTACACCGACTGTGGTGGCGGCTGCTCTGAAGAAAACCTGCAGATATTTTCCATTAAAGTGGAATCGATAAGAGGAGGTTTACGGTGGCCGCTAGACGTGTCTGGCATCGTCACCGCGCGCGATACTTTGGACACGGATCGCAAGCGTAACATTGTCTTCGCCCGTTCGAGGAGTAACTGCCAGACCATCACAGAGGAGGTAATTGATGCTATGTTCCTAATTTTTATCAAATTTGATTCAATTTGTCCTCTGACCCATGAAGCGTCATTATATACTTATTAATAAATTAGTTTGTGTGTGCAGTGTCCGTATCTAGAACTCACGGGTCCTACTCGTGCTGTTGTGGTCGATTTCGACCCAGGGAGTTTTGAGGTTGTGCTCAAAGTTAAGGGCGCAACTGAATCTGCTGATAGAGACCTAAGTTTTCTAGTCCTGCCATTAGAAGAACGTTATCAGTATCATAGGTATTATACTAGTAAAAATAGCACACTGGAGTTAACACTCCGCCGCGTTGATCAGTCTGTGGAGGCAACAATCAGTATGCGACTCGCTGCTGGTTCATCATGGCCACGCGGTTTCCAGGGTGTATTTACCGCCAGTATTGCCAGTATAGATGATGCCGAAGTTTCCTTGCTTTCTTTTGAAGATGATAGATTGCCAGTTAATGCCGATGATGGCATCATCAAGCTGACACGGCGTGTTGTCTCCGTTGAACGCGAGCATGGAGAGCTGAAAGTTTCTGCCACAGCATGGTGTGCAAATGATGAGCAAGACACTATGACAAATGACATAGTTTTCACACCTAGGTTCGCGGGTAGAAGTTGTGGTGTGCTTAACGTTGGCACATGTAAGATCCAAATCACTGTGGCCTGGTCCCTTTTTGACTGGTAAGAAAAATTGTGATGCATACACTTTTATTCAGATTGTTTTGGGAATACATTTGATTCAACCATTGACCTATTTAATTTAAGGACACGACTATGGGAGGGGCGTCGCACTGCTACCAGGCATTATGTGCACCCAGGCCATGAAAAAAGGCCTCCTTGCTTCATGTGCTCATGCAGTAGGCCTCGATGCTCAAAACTGTCCAGTTCCCCAAGTCTTTCCCCCATGTATGTTCACTCTCCTTCCTTTTGCAAAATACCACAACTCCATTACGCCTTCATTACTAGGAAAGCAACTGTTTGGACAAAACGGGAGGGGAAAAAGGAAAACTGAAACTCTGCTCGATTGAACCATGATCTGATCATTCGAAGGCGAAGCAATATTATAAAAAGAAAGTGAATGCAGTAGTAAAAGGAAAACATTTTGCTGACTAAAACGTGCACACAAACCAACCAACTTAAACTGATCTGCCAGACCAATACATTTTTTTCGAAAACGAGGACTACCCCGGCCTTTGCATCTCGATGATGCACACAATCATATATATATTATTAAGGATGCAAAATTTAGCAGTCGAAACAACATCAACCCGGAAAGACAATAACAAAAAGAAAACCCGAGGGTGCATGTCTCGCGATAGTAACTTGACCAGATAGCCATTAGCCCTATGATACAAAATAAAAATACACAACTCCTAGGCTACGCCTTCAGGAAGGAATCACCGCATGTGCGCCGTTGATGACGAGACTAACACAAGTTTGAACTCCGGATTCTCATCCCCAAAGCGAAGCTTTGATCTACCACCTTCAGTAAGGACAAGACATGGGCACGCGTCGACATAGCATGATCTAAGATCTTGTTTTTTCCCCGGAGTTCACAAAGTTGTCATTGAAGCCGTCTGTACCATATCATCCATTATTCGGTTCCTGACTCCTCGATAACCGGATAGCTCTGGAGAAGACACCGAAAAAAAAAGACCGGCTGCCTTCTGTTACCGTTGCATCACCTTCGATCCAGCAACAACAGGCTAAACATGGCACCTCAGCAAGAACCATAATGCAACACCTGTTGGTAGCAGGCATGACTTTTTCCACTCGTCAAACATTTCCCCTTTTTCCTTTTCCTTTTTCTTCGCCTTCCTCTTATTTCTTTTTTATACATTATTTTTAAACTTTACTTTTTATGCTATGTTATTTTCTATATATTGCTTATTTTTTTTTCCCGTCTTTATTTTATATGCACTGAGTGCATTTTCTAGGCATTTAGTGAATATAATAAAATCTAAAGTGCAAGTGCATAAAATAGTTGACAAAATTGGGTGAAAATTTCTATTTGTCTTCTTGAATCTATATTTAGGCCCGATCCAATAAAATGTAATAAATTTCAAAGATGAGGATGCCAAGGGTCGGCCGTCCACGTGGTTATCACGTTGGCGCACGTTTGACGCTTGCAAAATCATTAGTGCATGCAGCGTAGCAATGGGGTGTGTCATCTGCGAGAGTGGAATCAGACTAACATTCTGGTGCAGGCTATCAACGGAGAAGAATATGAACGGTCTGTCAATGGCGCAACAATAAGAGAGATAAAAAATCTTTGGTCAGTTAAATTTTGTGAATTCTAAAATTGCTCACTTTTCCAGGGCATGTAATAAAATAGCAGACCGTCTAGTGGAGGCGGACCTTTGGTCTATGGTGATATATATCCCTGGAATCCACATCGTGTGTAAGTGTGTTGCGATCCGTTGCTAAAGTAGTGAATTAGGAAATACGGGAGGCTCCTGCTGTGCCAAAACGCGTTATACACAGCTGCCAAAGTGCTATACTGTCAGAAGGACAGGCTTGGACAGCATCTGGTACAGTGTTTTCACGTAGTAATTAAAGACAGTATAACTGCACCTAAACGAGCTCCCACAGCGATTTGCGTTTTGGGCCGTCCGTTTTCCCGATCTGAGACTTTCTGGCCGTCCGATTTCGTGCGTGTGGCTATCTGTTCCACTATCGGTGTTAAGTGGCCCGGCTGTCCTGTGGGCTGCTGCTCCACGGGCCGAAACGGAGGCCTGTGTTGCATTGAGCTTTCGCGAGCCGCCAGCCCATTGAAAGGAGGTCCACTGCTGGGCTTGGGGCCTACTCGCGACCCCGTGAGGTCCATCCCACTCGCGACCTGGAAATTCTAATCAAATCCCGATCGAGGCGCGGCCAGTTTCTCGATCCAGTGAAGACGACCGGTGTGCGTCGGTCCCCTTGAGGTGAGGTGAGGGATTTGAGCGGGATCCGGGTCGAGCCGATCCAATCCAGCGCGTGACAGAGGTGTGGTACGGGATCCGAGGCGCACGATGCGTGTGAGGAAAGGTGGGGGCGAGGGCGATAATGGCAGGCGCCTCGTCTGCTGGAAACTGCTCTCCTCTCCTTCAAGCTCGCAATCATGGCTGGTAAAGTCGCAAACCTTTCCTATGCCCAGAGGTACTACATAATGCTTCCCTTCCCACTTCCCTCTGTAGCCATGTCCCGAACTCACCGTCGCCTTCTATCCTGATTGCCGTGGCCATAGATTCTCTTCTCTCCTCCTTGCCCAGTACTTTATCTCTGATGCAGCACAAGCGCGTCCGCTTGCATTGTGTTCTTTTTGTGTTTTTACTACTGAATTGTAGAATTCTTGTTGTTGCAGAAATTTGGAGATCAAGTTGCTGATTGCCTCGTCATCCAGAAAAGTTGTTTTGGTGAGCAGAACATTCGCTGGAAGATGAACCGGCTTTTTCTGGCGAACGAAATGAGCTCCTATTTACTACTTTTGAATTTGTTCATTGAAACGTTGGGTCCAAGCTTGATTGTTTACACAGCAATGAGCACTCCTCTGTTCCCTCAACTTCTTCTAACAAAATTAGCTATTGTTAAGCCAGATTTTTCTTTTACGTAATATTGTTTCAATTTCAGTTCAGAAGTGTTTGCCATGCCTTTTTCCTATTAAAGAAACACGATTGTGTAAATCACACTCCATTCATACATTTCAGTAGGCAAATGGTTCAGTTCAGGTTCATAATGATGGGTTTTTTTTTATTTCCAGTTTACATATTATTATCCACATAAGCAAACCTGGGGGCTTCCTACTATTCCTTTTTAAAATGGTGCCTCTTACTGTGCTTCATTAGCTTGTATGTATATTGGAGCAATAATGAAAGCCTTCACATCAGGTTACGTGGTTGCACTGCTTATGCTGGACACTATTTGTGAGATGACATCTCATCTACTAATACAGTTTTATCTGAGAAGATGGGTCTGTTTTGCTATGGTGGGAAGCTATAAATTTTCTTGACAGCAACAAGTGTGCCATTCCATGAATTTTATTGGGCATCATTTTCGGTATAATATCTAGAGTACTGTCCTGAGATGTGGGGGTGGGTTAACATTGTTCAGATACTACCGGCTTAGGTTTAGTCTCACTGGAAGTGTGTGGGACATAATCAATCACAATCTGTTATGTGATGTATATCAGTATCATAGTGGTTGATTTAAGTTATGTGTGAATTATTGCAACACTCAATGAAGATTGTTTTGGCATCACTTCTATTTTTGGTTTGCTTAAGTTTACTTTCTGATCTTATAACAATTATAATGCCACATCTTTCCTTCTTTATCTTTTGAGCCTCTCTAAGTTTTCATATTATCTTTTCCTTTTTCGCACATTTTCATCTTATTGTTCTACACCGCGAGAGATAAGTATTTATTCGGCTCTGAACTTACGAGGGACTGTATTTAATTATTAGTTGCGGCTTGCTGTAGAAATATGCAGTTATATTGTAGCTTCCATATTTTTTTTCAAGTTAGCATGCCTCTTACCCTCTTGCGTGCATTACCATGGGCAATTTTAAGGCCTTATGGATCTGGATGAGTTGATGTGACAATGGTCGAGGAGGTGATGATGTACTCTCATCTGATCCATTGATGAAGACTAGAGGATGTGAGTTCTCTCACTACCTATTTCTCCTTAGGTCGTTAATTCTGGTGATATGTAAATATGTTTCTCTCTTTTAGTTCTGTAACCACTGCTGCACTGCCCTTTGTACAGTACTTCCACCTTAGTAATATTATTTTCTTTTTAGGTTTGAAAGGATTCTATATTTCACGTAATTTGATGCACACTACTACGTCTGCACTCTGTGACTCTTCTTTGCCACGACACAGTTCTAAGCATTTCTCAATGCATATTGACACTTTGTAGAGCTTGAGAGTAGTGGGTACTTCACGGGCCGCTATTTAGTTATAGCATTATTTTGGCATAATTACTTGGCGTTTGTTGAACACTTTTTTAGCGTGAGCATGGTTTATTTACCAGTCTGGTTTGTCTATTGTTTCTGCATCTTTACCGAATTGAAATATTGTTCAAATACCAGTTTAGTTAGTCCGTCGTTGCTACATCTTCTCCTCTCATGAAGATATATGCACAGTACTAATTCCCAGTTTCGGAACCTTATCTGATGTTTTCGCACTTCATTTTTCCCTCAAATATTTATATTGTTCTTTCTACATGATCGATGGGCACAAACACACCATATGTTATTGGGTGCAGTGCTGCAGGAGGCCTTGCAAATGTTATAGCAGCTGATCTCCCAGTTTTGACATAGACGGACATGGATTCCCAGAGCATTATAATCAAGGAGAGGAGAAAAGGCTTTGGACAACTTCTCTGTATTTTTCACCCACAAGTCTACAACCTATTTTTTTTATATGGAAATGACTTGTGACACATTTTATTGAATATCATAGTGAGTTACATAGTTGAACACTGAAGGCAAAGCCGCTAGGATTCTCAAGTGTCACACCACGATGTTTTACGCTTGGCAAGCTTCCTCGCCTATCTATGCTATGTTGCCCCTACAGAATGGCTAAAGTAGTTACATTGATGTACAATGTTTTTTCTTGATCATTTTTTTATAAATTGCATGTTCTTAGTTCATCTCCGGCCATTCGATAAACATAATTGCATTTATTATGAATGAATACTTATATCCA